GAGCCATTTCTTGCTGCTATTCCATCTAAAAGTGAAAATTGGATGGGAAGCAAATGTGGACAACATTTAAAGTACTATCAAAGATTTAAAATTGGATTTGGTTCTGACTTTGACTAGGTCATTCTTACACAAAAATATGCTTTAATCTAGAACATTCCATTGTAGCTCTGGCTGGATGTTTAGGGTTGTAAGCCTCAGCCCCAGTCTCCAGTCTTCTGCAGGTCTTCATCCAGGATTGTCCCAGGTTTTGTTCCATCCATCTTCTCATTAGCATCCCCATATTATGCTGCCATTCCCTTCACTGTGCATAGTAGGTCCAGGGTGATGTGCAGTGTTTGTACCTTACATTAATATTAGATTGTACTCTAAAACATTACAGTTTGGCCTCATCTGACCACCTCCCTCCACACCTTTGTGTTGTCCCTTAATGCTGGTTATTGAACTGCAAATAGATCTCTCATGGCTTTCTTCTTGCAACTCTTCAACAAAAGCAGATTCTTGGGATTGTTCCTTGATCTTCATAATGCCATTTCTTCTCTAATGTTCTAAAATAAACATCTGAGGCCTTCACGGAACAGTTGGAGTACTACTGATATTAAAATACACATAAATGAATTCTATTTATTTGTGATTGAAACTTAATTTTATTTAGTTTCTTGGGAACTAAATAAAAGTTCCCAAGAAACTTTTATTTCTTGGGAAATAAAAGTTTCCCAAGAAATTGTATTCAGTTAAGAAGCTGAATACAAATGTAGACCACGTTTTTCAGACGTTTATTTGTAAAATATGGGTCACTTTCTTCTACTTCACTTTTACTTTGTGTTAATTTACAGTATAAAACCAAACTAAAATCAACTAAAGTGTGGATGTAATATGATAAAATATGAAAAAATGCAATGGGTTGTGAATTTAATCTTCATGTAAAACCAAACCACATCACTGAGGAAAGCAGCTGAGGTGTTGATATGAACTCCTGATGGCAGAACTGTGCTTAAAACAAAATTCCCTTTCTGAACACACTCTGGGTTTGCTAGCCTGTTTGGCCACACAGGGAAGCAAACAAAGGAATCCATATCCATGGCTCCTGCAACTTGCTTTGAATACCAAACTAAAGAACCTGAAGGTAGGAAGAAACAAGTTTCTATCCATTTTGGTAAAAAGAAATATTCAACTAATACAAAATG